CCAACTATTGTTATAACTGATTCAGGTAAGAAACATCAATGGATTCTGAAACTACAGTATATTTACATAGTCTCAAATTCTCTTCCTTTGAGACACAGATTAACTACAAAGGGAAAAATGGTAACTTTTCAATGAGATAGACACCACCTTAATTCAAGTGATCAAAGTTAACAGGGCCAGTGAAGGGGCTAATCACAGCATATGCCTGATAGGACACACCAAGAAGGCTGCAGCATCAGTCAAGCACAGTGGCTCATGCCTGTAAACTCAGCACTGTGGTAGGCCAAAGCAGGCGAATCGCGAGACTAGGAGTCTGAGACCAGCCTGGGCAACACAGTGTGAGATCCTGTCCCTATAAAATATTTAAAAATTAACCAGGTGCAGTGGCACACACCTATAGTCTCAGCTACTCAGGAGGCTGAGGCAGAAGGATCACTTAGTAGAGGAGGTCAAAGCTGTAGTGAGCTACAGTGGCACCACTGTACTCCAGCCTGGGCAACCAAGCAAGACCTTGTCTCTTAAAAAAAAAAAAAGAGGTTGGGCACGGTGGCTCAAGCCTATAATCCCAGCACTTTGGGAGGCCAAGGCGGGTGGATCACGAGGTCAAGAGATCGAGACCATCCTGGTCAACATGGTGAAACCCCATCTCTACTAAAAATACAAACAATTAGCTGGGCATGGTGGCGTGTGCCTGTAATCCCAGCTACTCAGGAAGCTGAGGCAGGAGAATTGCCTGAACCCAGGAGGCGGAGGTTGCGGTGAGCTGAGATCGCGCCATTGCACTCCAGCCTGGGTAACAAGAGCGAAACTCCGTCTCAAAAACAAAAAAAAAGAGAGAGAGAGAGAAAGAGAGAAAGAGAGAGAGAGAGAGAGAGAGACAATGACTGCTTCAACCCTGTGCTACTCCTGCCAGAAGTGCATAACCTAAATCTAATCATAAGAAAACCACAGGAAACCCAATTGAGGGCATTATCTTAAAAAGTCAGTAGTGAAGGCCGGGCACGGTGGCTCACGCCTTTAATCCCAGCACTTTGGGAGGCCGAGGTGGGTGGATCATGAGGTCAAGAGATCGAGACCATTCTGGTCAACATGGTGAAACCCCATCTCTACTAAAAATACAAAAATTAGCTGCGCATGGTTGCGCACACCTGTAGTCCCAGCTACTTCGGGAGGCTGAGGCAGGAGAATTGCTTGAACCCAGGAGGCGGAGGTTGCGGTGAGCCGAGATCGCGCCATTGCACTCCAGCCTGGGTAACAAGAGCGAAACTCCGTCTCAAAAAAAAAAAAAAAAGTCAGTAGTCAGCTGGGCATGGTAGCTCATGCCTGTAATCCCAACACTTTGGGAGGCCGAGGCAGGCGGATCACAAGGTCAGGAGTTCGAGACCATCCTGGCCAACATGGTGAAACCCCATCTCTAAAAAAAGAAAAAAGAAAAAAAAAGAAAGAAAAAAGTCAGTAAACTTCAAATATGTCAATGTTGTGAAATACAAAAGAAAGACTTGATAACTGTTTCAGATTAAAGGAGTCTATAGAGACAGAAAAACTTAATGCAAAACAGATGTCTAGGATTTTCTTTTGCTATAAAGGACATATTGAAGCAACTGACAAAATATAAATAAGACCTGTACATTAAATAGTGTTGTATCAACATTAATTTCCTGATTTTTTTTTTTTTTTGAGAGTCTCACTCTTTTGCCCAGGCTACAGTGCAGTGGTGCAATCTTGGCTCACTGCAACCTCTACCTTCTGAATTCAGGAGATTCTCATGCATCAGCCTCCCAAGTAGGTAGGACTACAGGCATACACCACCATGCCCAGGTAATTTTTCTTTCCTTTTTTTTTTTGAGACAAGGTCTCTCTCACTCTGTTGCCCAGGCTGTAGCGCAGTGGCGCAAACTCCACTGACTGCGACCGCCGCCTTCCAGCTTCAAGTGATTTTCATGCCTCAGCCTCTCAAGTAGCTGGGATTACAGGTGCCTGCCATGACACCTGGCTAATTTTTGTATTTTCAGTAGAGACAGGGTTTCACCATGTTGGTCAGGCTGGTTTCCAACTCCTGACATCAAGTGATCCGCCTGTCTCAGCCTCCCAAGTACTAGAATTACAGGCATGAGCCACCGCAAGGCCTAATTTTTGTACTTTCAGTAGAAACAAAATTTTGTCATGTTGGCCAGGCTGGCCTCAAACTGCTGGCCTCAAGTGATCCTCCCATCTTGGCCTCCCAAAGTGCTGGGATTGCAGGCATGAGCCACTGCAGCTGGCCATGATTTTTAATAACTGTACTGTTGTTATGAACATCATATGTACTGTCTATGAATGTTATTTTTTGGGAAATACAAAGTGAAGTATTTAGAGGTAAAAGGGTAACTTTTGCCTCTAAATACTTTTAAGTCTACAACTTACCATTAAGTAGTTCAGAAAATAGGTTATAACACATAGGAATATAAAGCAATGTAACAGAACGTCCACATTTAGAGAATCTGAGAAACCTTTGGCTTATTCTTGAAACTTTTTTGCAAGTCTGAAACTATATCAAAATATTTTTTAAAATTAGAGAACGTGTGCATATGAATAGAAATGTAGGTAAATTCCCTGGGATTAGCTTCATGATGGCATTTTCCTTAAACACAGAGATGAAATGAAGCCTGCATGGGCATTAATATTGGTCTTCTCAAAATGTTTTCCTCACAGAGCTTCTGTTTTAGAACACTGAAAAAAAAAAAAAAAAAGCCATTTTGAAGGCTCTCTCAAGACCAGCTCATTAATCAAGTTCTACAGAAGCGCCAACATAATCAAGCCTTTTTCACTGCAGATTTGTGCTATTTTTTTCTCAGTGAAAGTCAGAGCCTTCTGACACCATGAGTAGTTGATGATGTCGTGGCAACTTTTCTGGAATACGAAACTAAAAAACAGCTTTTCATTTAAAAATGAAAACGGGATGAAACAGTCTTGGTGGAAAGCCTCCACCTCCACTCTGCCTCATTGAATTCTTGAGATGTTAAGTCCTGGGCTGGGGATCAGTGGGTCAGTTGGTCCCACACTGCCTTCAAGTCCGTTCCTGTGTGCATTTGAAGAGATGCTGGCTGAGAATGCTCCCTCTTAAGCAGGCAGCAAGTTAAAGAGACTTGCAGGCTTGATAGTTCTTTGTCATATACATCTCATCTTTCTAGTGTGCTACAGTTTACAAAAAGCTCTTATGTATTATTTTGTTTCATCCTTTCCTTGAAGTGATTTAAAAAAACAAGAACCCTAATATTCAGCTTAACAGCAGTACTACAAAATATCCAGTTTTAAAAACAGGGAAGCACTATAACATCTGCCCTTGGCTCTGATCTAGTTGGAAACAGGACTTACCTAAGCAGATAAACACCCTGTTAACAGAATACACTAAATGAAAAAAGTAACTACATGAGTAAGGTGGCTAGGTAAATAATTCTATAAGGAGCTCAGTAGAAATACAATGTTCTTTTCTCTTTGAATTTGTCCACATCCATTTCTTTAAGCCTTATCTTCAAGTTAAACTCTACCAAGTAGCTCTGGTTTCACAGGCGTGTTTACAAGACATCAGAGGGAATGAGGGATGAGGCCTGTTCACATGTAACGCCACCCCTGGGACAGACAGCATCAAGAGGTCTCCTGACACCATTGCTCCAGCAGACCAACCACACTGACATTCTCACATGGGCCCCATCATTCATGTTTCTTCAAAGAAAACAGTAAATTAGCAGTTCACACTTCAGCAAAGAACCCCCAAAACAAAGGCCCTAGCCTAGATTCAAAAACAAAATTTCCCTTAAAGAAAGCATGTTTTCAACCAAAGAAAAATTAGGCTCAATTCTAGGACAACCGATAGCAAACAAGTCTACATGCACTGGCCAATCCCACAGCATCTAGATTCCAAAACAAACTCAGCGAAAAAGGCTCTGCTCTCACCTTTTAGAGATAAGAACCAGAGTTAGCAAGCAACAGAACCATGATTCACACCAAAGTCAACCCACTCTCCCCTCAATCCCACTGGCTTTCCCGTGGTCCACACAACCCACTGGGAACAGATGAACCCGTCAGAATTTCTCTTCAACACCCAAATCGCCACCCCACCCCCATTTTCTTGGTTTAAATGCCCTGGGGGCAGGTGACAAATGAAATTCCATTCTTAGGCAGCTTCCCAACACAAGACACATTCAGTGGCAAAGCAAAAGAGGAGAATACAGGTTCTAATACCTACAGGTCTATCTTACCCAGAGGAACGTTTTCATGGTCTGGCATTATGGATGAACTCAGGGCAGGAAGAACCCATCATTATGTAATGTCAGAGGGCAGGCGACAGGCGGAGAGAGGCGAGCCCATCAACACTCCCTTCCTTTGCCCAGAAAGACACAAATTTACCTCTGACATTTCGAATGTCTGTCTTCTGGGGCCCACCCATTCCTGGCTGGCTTTTGAAGAGACAGCCACAGATCCCTGCATATTTCTCAGGCCTCAATTAATGGACAACAAAGCCAGAGAGAAATAAAATACAGAAAGCAAAGATGCTAGAAATGTTGTCGGGGTCTAAGGGCGGGCAGAAAAGGGAAGAGTTTCGAGGATGGAGACCAGATTTCCTACACGGAGATGCATGTTTACTTTTACCCGGTTATGTTTACACCTAAAACACGGCAAGGCCTCCGGCGTCAGGAGCCGGTAGACCCAGCCCTGGAGCCGCACAGGGCAGGCGCTGCGACTGCATCCCGCGGCCCCACGCCCGCTCGGTACCCGGCCTCCTGCCGGGGCGGCCGCGTCCTCACCGGGCTCGGGGTCCGCCAGGCTTGAATTGTTCTCAAAGGACGCCACCGCAGGTAGACCACCGGCACCGCTAGGCAGTGCAATTTCCATGACAACCGCGGGCGCCGTCCCCGTCCGGCCCAGCGGGGACCAGGACGCGTCCCCCACGCCTGTTGTCCGTCCCTGGCCCCGGCTTCCGCGCCGGCCGCGTAGCCTCCGGCCCTGCCCGACCCACCTACCTGGCGCTTCCCGGCCCCCGGCGCCAGCCGCCCCGCCGTCCCGCCGGGCCGAGTGCCGGAGCCCCGCAGCAGCAGCCCCGCCGCCTGGTTGTGAAGTCACGGGCTGCGGGCCCGACCTCAGGTGCTGGTCCTCCCGCCCCGGCCCGCGGAGCCCGACCCGGCTGCGAACCACCCGCGCTTGCCGCAGCCCTAGCCCCGCCGCCGCCGCCGCCGCTCTAGACGCCGGGCGCAGCCCCGCCCCGGCCCCGCCCCCTCGCCGCGCAAGCGCGCTGAGGCCCGGCCCGCGCCTTGCGACCCCCGCCTCGCGACCGGCCGGAGGTGGGTCCGCCTCCCGAGGCAGCAGGGCCGTGACCGAGCTACCCGCGCCAATTCCTACTTCTGGGTTCCCAGAAGATCCTACCCTATCCTGTGACTGCTTGACTTGCAAGGAGTTCTTGAACTTCTGGACCTGACTGAGCGACTGCATCTTCACCCTGTCATTCACTGGTTCCGAGGCCCTGACGGATCCCCAAGGGAAGGTTTCGCGGAGGAGCTGCGACCCGGGGGCGCGTCCCCAACCTTTTGTCCTCCGGACAAGAGCATTTCCTGAAGTGCAGACTTACTCCCCAGGAGATGTTTAGGAAATTGAACATTCCAACCAGAGACAAGCAAAAAATTAAAATCTTAATACTTTGAAAATACAGACTTGCAAAAAGAAGACGATTGCTAACCTCTGCGTTTCTGTCCTTCCAGACCTATTCTGGCCTGTGTCCCTAAGTGTGCACTAACAGACTTGCAGCCAACATCAGTCCTTACACTTTGCTCCCAAATTTCTATTTTTCTATGGAGAAAAAGTAATCAGAAGTTTTGGAAGAAATTTTTCGCTGTAATTTGACTTTAAAACAACATTTCGGTCGGGTGCGGTGGCTCACGCCTGTAATCCCAACACTTTGGGAGGCCGAGGCGGGCGGATCACCTAAGGTCAGGAGTTCAAGACAGCCCGACCAACATGGAGAAACCCCTTCTCTACTAAAAATACAAAATTAGCCGGGCATTGTAGCGCATGCCTGTAATCCCAGCTACTTGGGAGGCTGAGGCAGGAGAATTACTTAAACCTGGGAGGCGGAGGTTGCAGTGAGCCGAGATCGTGCCATTGCACTCCAGCCTGGGCAACGAGAGCGAAACTCCGTCTCAAAAAATAAATAAATAAATAAATAAATAATCCCTGAGCAAGGGTAAATACTGAACTGAACGTATCCTTATCTTTGAGTTTCAACATTTTATTCGAAAAAAATATTCGTAAAACTATTTTAATTCAATAAACGATAATACTTCTCAGGCTGAGCATTTATACATAAAGTTTGCTTCAAAAAGAAAAGAGATTGGCCGGATGTGGTGGCTCATGCCTGTTATTCCAGCATTTTGGAAGGCTGGGGCGGGCCGATCACGAGGTGCAGAGATCGAGACCATCATGGTCAACATGGTGAAACCTTGTCTCAAAAAAAGAAGAAAGAAAGAAGGAAAGAAAGAAAAAGAAAGAAAGAAAGAACCAGTTTTTAGGGAGCCTGAGGCAGGGGAAGGAAGGAAGAAAGGAAGGAAAGAAGGAAAAGAAAGAAAGAAAGAAAAGACAGATGTCATAGTTTTAAATTTTTATTTCTTTTCTGATGTTTTATTTCTCTTCTGAAAAGTAACTTAGTAATAAAACAGTTCCTTCTTATTGTTTCTGCAGCTAAGTGGAAGGAAATATTGACAGAACCTTGACTCCACAGTACAAAGTTAAAGCCAAGAAAATCAAATTTGTAGAAATGCAAAAATACTTTTATATTTTATTTTTTAAATTACTGTGACCAATTAGTTTGCTTGGAACAGCCCCAGTTTACATATTTTTGCCAGCAAAATTATTAGTAGAGTCCCCTTTCACTCTCAAAAGTATTCTGTTCAAACAATAAATTTTATGGCCATGCTACTGATAATCAAGCTAAGAGAGTTGTCAAACACTAACTTTTAAAAAAGAAAAAAAAATTTATAAAGATTTTAAAATAGACATCAAATTTCAGTATTCATTTAGTGCAGTAACACCCTGAATGAGGATCAGCTTCCAATAACATTTGTCGCTTGACTGTTATGTAATTATTGATAATCTTCAAAGTTCAATCATGTTTTCAATGTGGCAAAGAATGAGGCCCTAATTCCACTGTATAGAATGAAAATTATCAAGAGAAAAGGGTGCCCTGTGTTAGTTAATACTGTAAAAGGAAAATAAAATTAATCTTGGGACCCCCAAACTCACTATTCCAAAGGAAAAAGCTAAGCTTGGGAACTGAATCATACAAAAAACTGCCTTCCTTTTGTTCCTAAAGAGACAGCTGCAAGATAGAAGACCACATATATCCCCAGGTAACTTCCCGCACCCTGACAGTGTAAATTAACAGCTTATCTTCACAGGAATGGGACAAAGACGAGACAAGAATCCTTCCACCCACCCCAAGACAAATGCATATTTGACTTCTTTCAATACTCTCTGTTTATTTATCTTACAAAAAAATGTATAATTCACTGTTCCTGTTTCCCCTCCTGCCCATTCTTTCCTCTTTAAATACTGAAGTCTCCAAAACCCTCTTGGGAAAAAGCATAGGCCACAGATCCTACTATAGTTTGTGTCTCTTTTTCCCAGTTGCATCCTCAATCTTGGCAAAATTGACTGAGATCTGTCTCAGACACTTTTTGATTTACAATACGATGCTGTATCTTCCCTAAGCATCACAGTGACAGAAGTATGCTCGTGGTAAAGTATCCCAGTCCTTCGGAAGTTCTCAACATGGGGTTCCTAACCAGTAGCATCAGCATCCTCTCAGAATTTGCAAGAAATGCAAATTCCCAGACCCCACCCCAGATCTGCTGAATCAGAAACTCTAAAAGTGCAGCCAAATTACCTGTATTTTAACAAGCCCTCCAAGGGATTCTGATAAACATACTGACTTAAATAATCTATATACAGGAAGTAAGCTGATTTAGATTATCAATGTACAATAATTAAGAGGTGAGCAGTATTATCTTCAGGACTAGAACCATCCTATGTGAGAATTTCTCTTCAGGCCATTTAACATGATATTTTTGTAGGCATACAGTCAGCTCTCCATATCTGTAGTTTCCACATCCATGGATTCAACCAAACCGCAGACCAAAAATATCTGGGAAAAAAAATTGCATCTGTACTGAACTTGTACAGACTTTTTTTCTTGTCATTATTCCTTAAACAATAGAGTGTAACAACAATTTACATAACATTTACATTGTATTAAGTACTATAAGTAACCTAGAGATGATTGAAAGTATACAGGAGGATCTGCATACATTATATGAAAAAACTACACCATTTTTTATATAAGGGACTTGAGCATCCATGGATTTTAGTATCCACCAGAGGTCCTGGAACCAACTCTCCATGGATATTGAGGGATGACTACACAGAATATGTGTAACCTTGAGGCCAGGCGCAGTGGCTCACACCTGTAATCTCAGCACTTTGGGAGGCTGAGGTGGGAGGATCACTTAAGGTCAGGAGTTTGAGACCAGCCCTGCCAACATGATGAAACCCATCTCTGCTAAAAATACAAATATTAGCTGGGCATGGTGGTGTGTGCCTGTAATCCCACCTACTCAGGAGGTTAAAGCTTAAGAATCACTTGAACCCGGGAGGCAGAGGTTGTAGTAAGCTGAAATGGCACCACTGCACTCCACCCTGGGCAACAATGCAAGACCCTGTCTCAAAAAAAAAAAAAAAAAAAAAAGAAGAAGAAGAAGAAAGAATATGTGTAACCTCGAAAACCAACAGCCCTGTAGCCATAGCAGCCACTGGAGGGTCAAAAAGGATATGGAGCACCTGAAAGAGCCCCATCCCCAGAGTCTTGTCACTGTTTGACTTGTCTGGCAACTTCCTGGAAAAGCTGCATTCCCAGGGTTTGTCTTTAATCGGCGTAACTCAGAACTTGCCCTGTGCAAATGGCCCTCTCCTCAGGGCATTGTTGAAAACAATCGGTAACAACTGTTTAATGTTATAGCAGCCTCAGGTAGTGACACCAGTTAGAGCTAACAACAGGCTGACTAAAAAACTTGAAAAAGAAAAATGAAGAATGAAATGTCCATGGGGAGGGGGCATTAAAAAGATTTAACATTCATTTTATCTACTTGATTGTTCAGTAAAAATAAAGATATATATATATATAAAGATTTAACATAAGCTGCCTGGCAGCACATGCCTATAGTCCCAGCTAAGGAGGCTGAGGTAGAAGGATCATTCGAGCCCAGGAGTTTGAGGCTGTAGTGTGTTATGATTTCTCCTGTGAATAGCCACCGGACTTCAGCTTGGGCAACATAGCAAGATCTCATCTAACAGAAAAAAAAGAGTAACATGTTTCTGGAAATCTGAAAAGGCCCAGGTTTTACTTCTGGCTAACCTTGAGTATTTGAGCAAGCATGATGTGAAGGCTTAGACAAAGTTGTGAACTGTCTGCCTGAAAATTGAAGGCATGTATTAATATGCACACAGAGCCTCGCCATAAACAAAGGAAGATAGAAATCTTTGATGCTAGCATTGGAGGAATGCTAGAGCATTTCTCTCATCGTTAGTGAACAATTAAGCTGACTACAAATGGCTACAGTGTCATATCAGTGACTACAAATGACAAAGAATAGACTTCACAAAATTAGTCCAAGAAAGGCACCAAACAAATAAAAACAGTAACAACAGCAAACCGTGGGGGAAAGGGAAACACGATTTTCAGAGTTGCCACGTTACATTATTTTTAATGTCTATATTTTAGCAAAAAGTTATAAGACACATAAACAGGTGGAAAAGGACACAGGCTGGAAGGCAGTCAATAGACTGTCAATGAAAATGCACAAATTGTGGACTTAGTAGACAAAGATCTAAAATCAGGTATTATAAATGTGTTCAAAGAACTGATGGAAACTATGCCTCAAAAATTAAAGGAACATATGAGAACAATATCTCACCAAAAAGAGAGTACAGTTAAAGATATAGGAAATATGTAAATATAAATAAACTCTGTGCTTGAAAGGCATAAAAACTGAAATGAAAAATCCATTAAAGGAGGACAATGACAGGATTGAGTGGCAGAAGAATTAGAAAAATTGAGGGTAAGTCCATGGATTCTGCCTAGTCTGAGGAACATACAGAAAAATCAATGAAGAAAAATGAACAGAGCCTAAGACATAAGTA